ATGCGCAGCAGCAAGAAGGTTTCGGTCATCCCTTGAGGGTGAGTCTAGCCCTGCTCGCCAGAAAGACCCCCCCCTTCACTACAACCCATGTCTAAGCAAAAGCTTGTCGAGGAGCGAGGGGAAGAAGGGAGAAGCTCAGTTTCCTTTCATCAGGACGGTGTATAATCTTGCTCGTATCCTCCTTCCGAGCACTTTGTGTGCAATAAATATCCTATATCGACCTGCTCCGCACACAACCAACAACGGAGGAGAGCTACCGCCGCAGGTAGCGGCACGATCATGAAGCGAGTGTCATTGCCGTTGCTGCTGGGTGTGATTTCGATCGTTTTCAAGCTGTAGACGCGTACCGTACACAATGGGCCGTGCGTGCTACAAGCAATTCAGCGGGGAATTCATCATTCATGCACAAGGAGCTCTTTTGGCTTGTTGCGTGCAACCCTCCAAGCAGAGGCGCGCTGAGGAGTACAAGCCAGCAGCCGTATACCCACTACGCGTGTACTACGTTGTTATTACGCCGCACCATTTTGATTAGCACCTTCACTTCTGCCTCCGGCCGCAACGAAGGTAGCTACAACGCACCATATTATCGTATAAGAGGGAGCGCACTACTGCTGTAGTAGCTTGGTGACCACCACGACCGCCGTGAATATTCCTGACAGCAACCGACCCCATGTGGAGCGGCGGGACTTTGGACCACCAAACAATGGTTGCCGAAGATCCTCGAACAGACCGGCGATGAGGAAATTGCGGAGCTGAGGAGACGCGGAGAGATGGCACGACGGCACGACAGACGACAGAGTGAGGGATACAACCTACGGGACGGCAGGACGTAGTAAGAGCCTCTCCCTGGAGAGTCGGAGAACGGGAGGGTCTAACATGGCTTAAGATGATACTACTGCTTGTCGTAGGCACAAACGTACACCGCGGCAGTGCCGCCTCTCCGTCCTTTTCGAAGGCTGCTGCTGCTGCTGTTTTTTCGTCTTTTCGGCGTGTCGTGCATCGTGCGCAGCAAAAAAAGTACGCCATTATGAAGAGACCAGCAGAGAACAAGACACTCTGAACTTTGCAACGTCCCGTCCAGCGCTCCCACACGCAGATAATGCTCAATTCACCCAAAGATAGGGTCCAGGCGTCGATGAGGGTCTTGGGCAGAACCTGTCCTGTTCCACAGCGTGTCCCCTGCGATTCCTCAGCGCAGTAGCGTGCACTCAGCATCATCTAGACTACATGTACAGCAATTTTGGTGGCCTCTTCGACAGGAGATTGCCATTCTCTCACCTCTGATCATAGGACATCACTGTCATGGAGCCACGGCGGCAAGGGTTTCTGCTTGCTTTGGTTTTGGTGGGTCTTCGTCCGTGCACCTCGCGTACTCTTTCGGTCCTGCCTGTTTTTTTTTTACTTGACATGATGAATCACAAAAGCTTCAATTTTTTCGCGAAGTGGCGATCGCTGTCGTCTCAGGGTAAGGGTTAGGTCGAGCGAGCACCGTAGCTTGTGTGGCATGTTAGAATATGAGATCCAAGGTCATTGAATAAAAATCCGTACGATGTGTTAGCGCTCCGAGTGTACAGCAGTCCACTTCGGCGGTGTGGCCGTGGCAGATTCGCGGGGCGGTGGCTGAAAAACACAGGACCGTACAGATTGGCCAATCAACGCTTCTCGTGCGACTGACAGAAGCATGTGAGGCGCGATGCGATTGATGATGAATGTCTCAGCTCATGTGCAAGGTGCAAAGGCCCCTGACTCCACCGTAAGCGATGCGCAACTGATCGCTCATCCGGGAACTACTCAAGTGCGTGCAATAGGAACAAAGCACACTCATTCTATGCATGCGTCACACTATACAATAAGTTGGCGATGAGAATACAAATGTAATGAAGTACACAGGTGACACAAGATATCACACCCCCTGGACCAATTTGCCAAGCTCGACAATTGTACTCCACAGGAAGAGTGGGGGTACCAAAAATGGCAGCGTTGAAACCATCTCGTCGAGATCTATGCGAAAGCACATCAATTCGTTTTGGCATCCTCTTCTTCGTGGAGTGTGTGCTGAGTTGAGCTTTGAAAGTAGGTCCAGGGGGCGTGGTATCTTGCGTCACTTCCGCAACAATACATGTAGTCCAGTCTCCGCATCTGCCCGACAGCACAAACCGACAACGGTGTAGATTGGCGCGTTCCCTACTCCGGTTCGGTACGCGTCCAGTAACGTCCTTGATACGACTGATTTCCATGCGCTCTGGCGCACTCTAAACTGACATGGACACGCATGTTGTGCCAGCTGTAGGTGGAGTACCTCAGCAGTAGACGCGATGTAATAATTTTGCAAGTCTCGGGTTTCCTGATTTCACTTTATGTGAACGTACACATCCCCAAAGGGGGGCACACTCCTGTAGACTATGTGCGGCGGAGCAAACTCACTCGATTTACTTACCCCATGCACGCTGTAGCGTTAACGTGCTGCCCCCCCCCCCCCCCCCCCCCCCCCCCCCCCCCCCCCCCCCCCCC